AAAGATTTTTTTGAATTTTTAAGCATTGTTTCTTCGTGAATAAACGATAACAGAAGCAAAATTGACTGAGAGATTATTTTAAAATCGATATGGCCATTTAACAAAATGGAGTATAATAAAATGGTGTTTATGAATTAAATTATTCTTAGTATCTGGTCAGGTAACAATATATTGAAATTCAATTTGCAAAAGTGAATAATATTGAATTATCTTTAAAAATAATCTGTTCGAGGTACGACACATTTCCTTTATTGTTAACAATTAAATTTACAAAATAAGAGAATAAACGATCTTATAATTCAATAAATTTTTATCCTGTAAGTAGTTCTTTCACTAAAATTCTATCCAAAAAAGTAGCCATTTCCTTCCAGATGCTATCATTTTCTCAAACGTTCTTTTTTGAAAGTCAAATCTAACAGATATAATCCAATTCCGGATACAGTAAGATACATTGACTTACAAGTTAGAGACAAATCTGCCTTTTATTGCCCAGTACTTTCCAATCATAGTAGAAAGCTGTCGTCGTAAATATATTTCTACTATGTTCTTTCTCTGAACAAATAAGTTCGAAAACATAATGATTTTAACTATTAGTACTCATTTCCTTCTAAATATACATATCTGCTGCTTGTAGACATAAGTTATATAGAGCAACAATATAGTATAAATGCTAAAATTTATTAATTTTACTTTATGTTGGAGTTTCTTATAAACTAAAATGTTTAACAATATATAATATTTTTTTTATTATAATTAACGTGTTATTTTATCTATAATCGGCGCTACATCGAAACACCTTAAGTAATAAGAATTGTAGTAAGAGTTTGAGTTTGAGTTTTAGTTTAAAAATCACGTTATTTGGTACTAAATGTAAGCTTCTCTATTTAATATTTATAAGAAAGATCCGTTTACAAGTATATTCTATGCTTTTTTATCAGGGTAGAGCTGTTTAGATCAAGAAGACAAGGTTTAACAGTATATAAATAAAAAATTTATTATTTTTTTCTCATTATTTTATTAAATTTTCTATACTTTTATTTATAGCTGTAAAATTTACTGTTTATGAAATATAAAATTCAAATTTATTAAAACTTTTTACTGAAATTCGAAGAGTAAAAGAATAAAACTTTTTATAGCAGAAAGTATATTTCAACTTTGTATACAATGTATAATTCAGTTTTCTATACTTAAAAAAACAAATTGATTTTATTATTTAATAAGATTTTTTCCGTTCGTTCTAGAATTTTATAAACTCTCTTTTTCATCTAACAAACTCTTCTTATTTTCTTTCAATTTTTCTATGAAAAATATCAAAGATTCGCATTCACAACAATTTACATTTAAGGGGAAGAAAATCAATACTGTCTACAAATTTTTCTAAATATTATAATTAAATTTTCAGTTAGCTTTAAGAATTAATTTATAAATATCATTTACATTTTTTTCCCTATTCAATAATATTAAAGTTTAAAAGAAAAAAAAATTACTTTTATTAATTAAAACTCACTGCATTGATAGGCAAATATGAATAATAAGTATAGAACATTTAATGAAATATTTTAATAAAATTATCAGGAAAAAAAATTTTTTTTATGTTGTTTTTTCCATCAGCTTACATTCCTTGTAAAGAAAATACGAAATTATGGTTGGATAGTTCTTCCAAAGAACAAATAACCACGATTAAGAGGGTAAATTGTTACAGTTTTATGAGTTTCCAATACAGTGGAATAACTTAAAAACTTTTTAAATTATAAAACTAGCAATAATATAATAAAAAATAATAATTTATGGAGGATCAAATTTGCATTGTTTATAATCAAATCAATTATTTTTCAGTCAAAAATTTAAATATAAAAGTCTCTTTTTAGTTTAATATTACGATTTAAATAAACACGTAATTGGACATAGATAAAACAAGAACAAAACAAGAACTCCATAAATGAAATAAATTTATTATTATTATTTTTTTTTCTTTGTAATACATAAAACTTTTCAAAGTCTGTCATTTAGACTGACAATATCTAAGCTGTTGTCACAATATATCTAGGCAGTAGATCAAAGAAAAGTAACAATACAGATCACATAGATACATATAGATCATATACAACTCACTTGTCATGATTTATTTCCATTACTCTTATTACAGAGTATATTCTACTCTTTCTATTGCATTCTTCAAACTTTGATAAATAAATATTTACATAATAATTTAAATATAATAACTTTTATTTTGATTTACTTTAACTTATCCTAATATAGGTTATCACATGCTAATGATTATCATGGTTTCTTCACGTATAAATCCAGAATACTAGGTTGGCAATACTTCAATGTAAGCTGAAAAAGTTAAGGATTTTTATTCGTGTGCTAAGTATTAAAATAATAATAAATGATACATTTTAGCTAAAAGTTGTTTTTTGTTTCTCATGTTTTACTTTATTTCCAGAAGGGATAAAACTATAAAAGAAATACAAAAACGAAAAATTGCTTCTGGATACGTTCAATGTATTCTCCAATGACCATCATCCATTTAAGGATATAAAAAAAAAATATATATATACATATACCATTTATAAAATAAATAACTTTTTATACTCGTAATGAAAGATTTTTTTGAATTTTTAAGCATTGTTTCTTCGTGAATAAACGATAACAGAAGCAAAATTGACTGAGAGATTATTTTAAAATCGATATGGCCATTTAACAAAATGGAGTATAATAAAATGGTGTTTATGAATTAAATTATTCTTAGTATCTGGTCAGGTAACAATATATTGAAATTCAATTTGCAAAAGTGAATAATATTGAATTATCTTTAAAAATAATCTGTTCGAGGTACGACACATTTCCTTTATTGTTAACAATTAAATTTACAAAATAAGAGAATAAACGATCTTATAATTCAATAAATTTTTATCCTGTAAGTAGTTCTTTCACTAAAATTCTATCCAAAAAAGTAGCCATTTCCTTCCAGATGCTATCATTTTCTCAAACGTTCTTTTTTGAAAGTCAAANAGAAGCAAAATTGACTGAGAGATTATTTTAAAATCGATATGGCCATTTAACAAAATGGAGTATAATAAAATGGTGTTTATGAATTAAATTATTCTTAGTATCTGGTCAGGTAACAATATATTGAAATTCAATTTGCAAAAGTGAATAATATTGAATTATCTTTAAAAATAATCTGTTCGAGGTACGACACATTTCCTTTATTGTTAACAATTAAATTTACAAAATAAGAGAATAAACGATCTTATAATTCAATAAATTTTTATCCTGTAAGTAGTTCTTTCACTAAAATTCTATCCAAAAAAGTAGCCATTTCCTTCCAGATGCTATCATTTTCTCAAACGTTCTTTTTTGAAAGTCAAATCTAACAGATATAATCCAATTCCGGATACAGTAAGATACATTGACTTACAAGTTAGAGACAAATCTGCCTTTTATTGCCCAGTACTTTCCAATCATAGTAGAAAGCTGTCGTCGTAAATATATTTCTACTATGTTCTTTCTCTGAACAAATAAGTTCGAAAACATAATGATTTTAACTATTAGTACTCATTTCCTTCTAAATATACATATCTGCTGCTTGTAGACATAAGTTATATAGAGCAACAATGTAGTATAAATGCTAAAATTTATTAATTTTACTTTATGTTGGAGTTTCTTATAAACTAAAATGTTTAACAATATATAATATTTTTTTTATTATAATTAACGTGTTATTTTATCTATAATCGGCGCTACATCGAAACACCTTAAGTAATAAGAATTGTAGTAAGAGTTTGAGTTTGAGTTTTAGTTTAAAAATCACGTTATTTGGTACTAAATGTAAGCTTCTCTATTTAATATTTATAAGAAAGATCCGTTTACAAGTATATTCTATGCTTTTTTATCAGGGTAGAGCTGTTTAGATCAAGAAGACAAGGTTTAACAGTATATAAATAAAAAATTTATTATTTTTTTCTCATTATTTTATTAAATTTTCTATACTTTTATTTATAGCTGTAAAATTTACTGTTTATGAAATATAAAATTCAAATTTATTAAAACTTTTTACTGAAATTCGAAGAGTAAAAGAATAAAACTTTTTATAGCAGAAAGTATATTTCAACTTTGTATACAATGTATAATTCAGTTTTCTATACTTAAAAAAACAAATTGATTTTATTATTTAATAAGATTTTTTCCGTTCGTTCTAGAATTTTATAAACTCTCTTTTTCATCTAACAAACTCTTCTTATTTTCTTTCAATTTTTCTATGAAAAATATCAAAGATTCGCATTCACAACAATTTACATTTAAGGGGAAGAAAATCAATACTGTCTACAAATTTTTCTAAATATTATAATTAAATTTTCAGTTAGCTTTAAGAATTAATTTATAAATATCATTTACATTTTTTTCCCTATTCAATAATATTAAAGTTTAAAAGAAAAAAAAATTACTTTTATTAATTAAAACTCACTGCATTGATAGGCAAATATGAATAATAAGTATAGAACATTTAATGAAATATTTTAATAAAATTATCAGGAAAAAAAATTTTTTTTATGTTGTTTTTTCCATCAGCTTACATTCCTTGTAAAGAAAATACGAAATTATGGTTGGATAGTTCTTCCAAAGAACAAATAACCACGATTAAGAGGGTAAATTGTTACAGTTTTATGAGTTTCCAATACAGTGGAATAACTTAAAAACTTTTTAAATTATAAAACTAGCAATAATATAATAAAAAATAATAATTTATGGAGGATCAAATTTGCATTGTTTATAATCAAATCAATTATTTTTCAGTCAAAAATTTAAATATAAAAGTCTCTTTTTAGTTTAATATTACGATTTAAATAAACACGTAATTGGACATAGATAAAACAAGAACAAAACAAGAACTCCATAAATGAAATAAATTTATTATTATTATTTTTTTTTCTTTGTAATACATAAAACTTTTCAAAGTCTGTCATTTAGACTGACAATATCTAAGCTGTTGTCACAATATATCTAGGCAGTAGATCAAAGAAAAGTAACAATACAGATCACATAGATACATATAGATCATATACAACTCACTTGTCATGATTTATTTCCATTACTCTTATTACAGAGTATATTCTACTCTTTCTATTGCATTCTTCAAACTTTGATAAATAAATATTTACATAATAATTTAAATATAATAACTTTTATTTTGATTTACTTTAACTTATCCTAATATAGGTTATCACATGCTAATGATTATCATGGTTTCTTCACGTATAAATCCAGAATACTAGGTTGGCAATACTTCAATGTAAGCTGAAAAAGTTAAGGATTTTTATTCGTGTGCTAAGTATTAAAATAATAATAAATGATACATTTTAGCTAAAAGTTGTTTTTTGTTTCTCATGTTTTACTTTATTTCCAGAAGGGATAAAACTATAAAAGAAATACAAAAACGAAAAATTGCTTCTGGATACGTTCAATGTATTCTCCAATGACCATCATCCATTTAAGGATATTAAAAAAAAAATATATATATAAANTACTATATATTAGAAAATAATCTTTATACGATTAAAAATATTTATTTTATAAATATCTCAAATAAAATTTTGAATTAAAAATATTTTTAAAGTGTACTTTACATACCTTCTTCTTCATCATCTTCTTCTTCTTTCTCTTTTGTTGGATCGTTTCTTTGCAAACTTTTCATTGAACCCTTAACTGAAGAATGTGCTATGGATTCTATATTTTCTAACGAATCATCGTCATTGTTAGAATCTGGAGAATTGTCGAAGTTTGGTATTATGTAGTTAATATCACTCTCTACTTCTTTAGCTTTGGTTTGGTTAGAACAAGTCGCTAGTTTTTTTCGATACGACTGTGTTAGAGACAGTAAAGGAGTAGAAGGTTCAGAACATCCTACATAAAGACAAAAATAGAAAAGAGTGTAGTAGATATTGATGTTTACTACAAATACTAGACACGTCTTATATTGACATTTGTTGTGTAGAAAGAACTATTTGATTCCAAAGAAAAATAAACAGAATCCGTATTGAGTTAAATTTAAATAAATTCTATTTTTTAATGAATCTAAATCAAAATATCATTAGAATAATTTAATAATTTTTATATTTTACAAATTCTATATGCTTTTTTTTTCCTTATAATCTTTTATTCTTTATTTGATGTTTGATGTAGTTAAAGAAGGAATGTCTGAGAGTTCAATGTCTGAAATATTTTGATTTGTTACATTATGGCTCTCATATATCGTCTAGTTCTAAAGCGCTGAGTTAGAAGTTTCTTAAAATTTATATCATAATAAAAATTCAACAATAAAATACTACATAATATTATATATATATATATATTCTTAACGGTTTTCTCTGCACATCATATATAAATTATAAATTATGAACAGAAAATCTTACTAGAAGATATGCGTTATAAAATGTAAATTATTACATGATTTATAATATAATAATAAAAAGAAATCTACATTACCTGCATGATAACATAAATGTCGTTGGCTTCCAACTCTTTGATCCGATCGAGCTTGCCTCAAACTTAAAGATGTTTGCCTTTTAATAGCCCACATTGCAAATGTTCTCTTGAGTGCTTGAATAATTTCTTCACCTTGCTGCGTTTTAAACTGAAATATCCCCTCTCCAGTTAAACACCGTCTATTGAACTCCAGAAAAATTATGAATTAATTATAATCGATCAGAAAAAATAAATAAATATATTAAACATTATTTACATTATTAACTTAGTTTATTTACTCAACTCTTCACTCTACAATTACTTTAATAAGGTATGAGGAGATAAAAGCAGGTTAAAGTCAAACCAGATGACAGAAAATATTGGAAAAAGTTAATAGAAAAGTATTATAGTTTAGTTGATTCTCGTAACTTTTATAAAGAGAATGATCTACACGTACTGTCACCAACTTATGATGGTTAAAAGAAGATAAAGTAGCGAGCTTGAACAAGACGGCAGCGAAAGATAGTTTAGTTTTATGTGCTGTGTCAGTAATATTTGGCAGCCAATAATTCCTCCATATTGTTAGCTTTGTATTGGATAATTGATTTTTCACAGAATTAAAAACGATTACTAAAGATACTGAAAGTTAAAACTTGATAAATACTCATCCATATCTTTTATCTATCACGTTGTAGAATCTTTACTGTTAAAGATAAAATTGGCAAATTCTATTTACTTCGATATAATATTATTTAAAAGTTTTGATATTTTTCCAAATTTAGGATAAATTAGCCAAAATATAAAAAGAAAAGAAGGAAAAACAAATCTCCTCATCTGCTGATTTCAGAGATTTATCTTCACGAAAAAGAATTTATTTGTTCAAAATTTATCGTTTAAATTATAAAATCTACAGTAAAATACCCTTCTGATAAATTTCTAATAAATTGTATATATATATATTTCAAGAATTTTAAATTATAAATAATAAATTCCAATATTATTATGATTGATTTCTTCTTTCTATATTAAAGTAATTACTTTATATAAATAAATTGACTAAATAAACAAATTTAATCATTCATCTTTAATTATTTTTAAAAGCTTAATAGAAATCAAAAACTTTTCTCTATTAATTATAGATGAATAGAAAAAGTAGGTTATATATTTTTATATTATTAAGTATTTTTCTAACATACTTAAAGAAAATCTCTGTAATTTACTTGTAGATTAATTATAGAATATCATACCTGAAAATTGATTTTTTGAAGAATTAAAATAGTATTAAATCTAATAAAAATGCAAAGGAAGTTATTTATATGTCATCTAATACAATGAAGGTTATTCTCTTATCGTATCGATGTATTATTCTACTGTAATTATTGTTATAGAATTAATTTTTGCTTAAATTCTATTAAACATTGATCAGTGGAGTATCCAGGAATTAATTTTGGTAATGGCTAAAATTAAACTTGTAGTAGTCAAGACTGATGAGAAGAAGAAATTGGGATCCGATCCTGTATAATAAATGAAGTCTTAAAAATCAATTTATATAATTTCAAGTGTATAAAAGAGAAAAAAAAGAAATGAGAACGTAATAGTATTGTAGACACTAACAGGGTCTTGTTCATACCTATCATAGATTCAGCCAAATCCACAATGGGCCATACGAATAGTGAAGGATAGGGCCTTATATAGACAGACCGCCCACTGGAGATTTACTCGCCCGGATTCGAACCCGAATCTCCAAAGCGGTGAGCTTTAAGGATATTTTATTTACACGAACGTCCAAACAACATAATAGCGAGGTTTGTGGTCGAAGTTTTCATTTCTCAAACGTGAACGTCGAACGTCGAGCGCCGCTATCTTGTAAGCGGCGCTCGACGTCCGACGTTCACGTAAACTTCAGCCGCAACCTTTTAGTATTATATTTAAATTGTATTTTGTGTGGGACTATAGCAACTTGAGTCAGTTACGTTAAAGATTTTATATCAATTACTTTAAAAAAAAAAAAATATTTAAAATATATTTTAAGCTTAATTTACGAACAGTTTTTAATCAAGTTAATCCGAAAATTTATGAATAGACTGTATGTATTTAATCGAAATATCTAACTTAGATTAAGTAACGTACAAAATAGCATTGAATTTATTAACAGTTAAGAGGTTTTGTTCTTATAATAGCATGGTATTTCGGTAAGAAAAACAAGAAATCGATAAGTTCTCATCCTTGAAACGTGAATAATCTGTAGGTGATTTAATTACTGTTATAACATTGTACAACTTAATTTGGTACTAATTTATTATCCAGTCAACTATTTAAGTTAAACTCGTAGGAATAAGCTTTGAAAATATCGTCCTTGCTGACTAATATATCTCTTCAACGATCGCCAGGTGGTCCATTGCTATAAAGTAAAAGTCTTACGAGAGATTCATAAATTATGTAGCAGCTCAGACTAACATATTTTTATAGGTTAATTAAAATATCCGAAAGTAATATATATCAAGGAAGTGACAGTACGACAGTCACTTCTTACGTAAAAATTCTTTCTCGGAAGAATACAAATATAGATAAGAGACGTTTTACATCTTGAGTGCTTGAATAATTTCTTCACCTTGCTGCGTTTTAAACTGAAATATCCCCTCTCCAGTTAAACACCGTCTATTGAACTCCAGAAAAATTATGAATTAATTATAATCGATCAGAAAAAATAAATAAATATATTAAACATTATTTACATTATTAACTTAGTTTATTTACTCAACTCTTCACTCTACAATTACTTTAATAAGGTATGAGGAGATAAAAGCAGGTTAAAGTCAAACCAGATGACAGAAAATATTGGAAAAAGTTAATAGAAAAGTATTATAGTTTAGTTGATTCTCGTAACTTTTATAAAGAGAATGATCTACACGTACTGTCACCAACTTATGATGGTTAAAAGAAGATAAAGTAGCGAGCTTGAACAAGACGGCAGCGAAAGATAGTTTAGTTTGATGTGCTGTGTCAGTAATATTTGGCAGCCAATAATTCCTCCATATTGTTAGCTTTGTATTGGATAATTGATTTTTCACAGAATTAAAAACGATTACTAAAGATACTGAAAGTTAAAACTTGATAAATACTCATCCATATCTTTTATCTATCACGTTGTAGAATCTTTACTGTTAAAGATAAAATTGGCAAATTCTATTTACTTCGATATAATATTATTTAAAAGTTTTGATATTTTTCCAGTTCTAGAATTTTATAAACTCTCTTTTTCATCTAACAAACTCTTCTTATTTTCTTTCAATTTTTCTATGAAAAATATCAAAGATTCGCATTCACAACAATTTACATTTAAGGGGAAGAAAATCAATACTGTCTACAAATTTTTCTAAATATTATAATTAAATTTTCAGTTAGCTTTAAGAATTAATTTATAAATATCATTTACATTTTTTTCCCTATTCAATAATATTAAAGTTTAAAAGAAAAAAAAATTACTTTTATTAATTAAAACTCACTGCATTGATAGGCAAATATGAATAATAAGTATAGAACATTTAATGAAATATTTTAATAAAATTATCAGGAAAAAAAATTTTTTTTATGTTGTTTTTTCCATCAGCTTACATTCCTTGTAAAGAAAATACGAAATTATGGTTGGATAGTTCTTCCAAAGAACAAATAACCACGATTAAGAGGGTAAATTGTTACAGTTTTATGAGTTTCCAATACAGTGGAATAACTTAAAAACTTTTTAAATTATAAAACTAGCAATAATATAATAAAAAATAATAATTTATGGAGGATCAAATTTGCATTGTTTATAATCAAATCAATTATTTTTCAGTCAAAAATTTAAATATAAAAGTCTCTTTTTAGTTTAATATTACGATTTAAATAAACACGTAATTGGACATAGATAAAACAAGAACAAAACAAGAACTCCATAAATGAAATAAATTTATTATTATTATTTTTTTTTCTTTGTAATACATAAAACTTTTCAAAGTCTGTCATTTAGACTGACAATATCTAAGCTGTTGTCACAATATATCTAGGCAGTAGATCAAAGAAAAGTAACAATACAGATCACATAGATACATATAGATCATATACAACTCACTTGTCATGATTTATTTCCATTACTCTTATTACAGAGTATATTCTACTCTTTCTATTGCATTCTTCAAACTTTGATAAATAAATATTTACATAATAATTTAAATATAATAACTTTTATTTTGATTTACTTTAACTTATCCTAATATAGGTTATCACATGCTAATGATTATCATGGTTTCTTCACGTATAAATCCAGAATACTAGGTTGGCAATACTTCAATGTAAGCTGAAAAAGTTAAGGATTTTTATTCGTGTGCTAAGTATTAAAATAATAATAAATGATACATTTTAGCTAAAAGTTGTTTTTTGTTTCTCATGTTTTACTTTATTTCCAGAAGGGATAAAACTATAAAAGAAATACAAAAACGAAAAATTGCTTCTGGATACGTTCAATGTATTCTCCAATGACCATCATCCATTTAAGGATATTAAAAAAAAAATATATATATAAA